ACTTCCACCCCAACGAGACGACGCTGGCCTGGCTCCAGCACACGTACCCCACACTGCCCCCTGCCCAGCGCCCGCTCGAGTGCACCCTGCGCCCCGGGGAGGTGAGTCAGGACCCCCGGGAGGGTGGAGGGGACCCCACACAGCCCAACTAGAGCCACGGGACCCCCCGTGCTCCCTCCCACAGGTCCTGTACTTCCCTGACCGCTGGTGGCACGCGACACTCAACCTGGACACCAGTGTCTTCATCTCCACCTTCCTTGGGTAGAGCCAGGAAGGACAAGGATGTGTCACCATCATCCTGGACACAGCAGGAATTCCTGCCACCCTCAGGGAAAGGCAACTGGTTTGGGGACCAACTGCCTGAGAAAGTTCTGGTTTTTACTGGTCTTTTTCCTCCCCCTTGGATTAAAGTTGTTCTACTGTAGCCATTGTGTGTTGCTACATCCCCCCCTCCCACTGGCTCCCGAGCCAGGATATCCCCAGAAATCACTGCTGTGAACCACTTCAGCTCCTTTTCCACATTTATTGCTGATTTTTTTTAATTATTTTTATATATATATATTTTTTTAATGGACATTGGCAAACTTCCAGGGGGTGCTCAGAAAGCCAGGCAGGCTGTGGGCCGACCAAAATGCTGGAACCTCAGTTGGATACAGATTTGTTGGTTATTTTTTGTGGTGTTTTTTAAGGGATTTAATTAAAGGAGTAAGAACCTTAACCCAGGTGGTTGTTTGCAGGGAACCACAGGCGAGGGGAGGTGGGAGCCAGCCCCTTCCAGCCCTGGGGCTGTTGTTTCCTGGGAAAAGCCAGAGGGTGAGTTGGTCTCACCCTGGCAAGTGGCTATTTACAGGGAAGAGGACCCAGCCCTGGCCAGGCAGAAGGTGGAAAGAGGAGGAAACAACTATATACACAGGGAGGGACTGGGCTCCAGGTGCTCATCCCAGCGAGCTCCCTGTGGCACTCCCTGGAGCAGGACACTCTTTGGGGACTGCCAGCGGCCGTGGCCGAGGAGGACCCTGCTCTGTGAGCCATGGAGATGACAGTGAGGCCACTGCTGCTAAGGCAGCCTTCTCCCGACCCCCAGGCAGGTCTTGGAGCTGGAGAGGGGAGCCCAGGGAGCCGTGGTGCCCACCCAGCCACTACGGGAAGGGGAGATGGTGACGTGCCCTCGCCTCACGCTGGGTCTGGGGCAGCCGGAGCGGAGGGGGAGCAGCCAGGGAACAAGTAAGGCATGGTGCCAGCCTGGGGAGCTGTGCTGGGGCACTCCAACACTACCCCAACCCCTCAGTTATGCCCCCCCAGGCCCCTCAGTAATTCCCCCAGCCCCTCAGTAATCCTCCACCCAGCCGTTCTCCGAGATGAAGGCGTCGATCACCTCCTTCATGGCGAGGTTGGGGATCAGCTGGTCCTGGGTCAGGGGACTCCGCGTCACCGGGTCGAAATGACCCACGCGCTGCAGGGAGGAGCGGGTGGGAACCGGTTACTCCACCTGCCCGGGCTCAGCCCTGGGCCACAGGGACCATTGGCATCTGCCCTGGCATCCGGCACGGCAGCCAGGCCTCCGGGGGGAAGGAGGGACAGCCCCCTCTGAAGGTGCCTCTCAGCAGGATGAGGGCAGGTCAGGGCACAAGACCCCGGCCAAGAGCCGCCTCTGCTTTGGGCAGGGCCCGGCAGCACCTGCTCCACAGGGAGCTGCCCTGGCACGTAACTGGGAACAAACCCAAGGAGCCTTCAGAACCCTGAGCTGGGAGCTGCCTTCCTGCCCAGGCAGGAAAGGTGCTGGGAAACCCCCCTGTCCCTGGCCCGGTGGTACCTGGAGATGCTCCTCGATGTCCTTCCTGTCGTAGGTGATCCCACTGGGCGTGATGCAGGGCTCTCTCATCAGCTCAAAGCTGATCTTCCCGCACAGGTAGTCAGGGATGTCCCGCTTCTGGCTCGAGAGAGGCACAGCTGGGTCAGGAAGATGGACTGGGAGGTGGTGCTGGCTCAGAGGGGGAAGCAGGGAACACAGCAGGGGAGAGATGGGAGCGCAGGTCAGGGCACACTCACCTTCCTCTTCTCATCCACCTGGGAGAAGAGCTCGTCCATGTCTGCCAGGTATTTGTCCTGAAAGAAAAGCCCTTCAGGACAAGGACACCCCAGCACAAATGGGCTACCCCAGGGAGAGCCCCCAAGCCTCCCACCCATGGGAGCAGCTCCTCGGCCCCTCTGCCCGTGCAGCTCCCAGCTGAACCTGGCAGGAGTGATCCAGCTTAAAACTAACCTTCCTTCGTGGGGCTATTTTTATCAGGGATTAGTCCCCAGCACCCAGACCCACATGTGGCCAAGAGCCACTTGTGTTCCCTCCCTCAGGGAACAACAGGCCCAGAGGCATGACTACTGCTGGGCTGGGACAAGAGGTGACAGAGCAGGGGCAGCTGTCACAGGGGGACACAAAAGCACCAGCCACAGAATGAAGGCTGAGGAGCTGTGCTCTGTCCTGGGGTCTCTTGGCTTTCATCTGCACAGCCGCAGCCCTGGCTTCCCTGGCTACAGAAGAGCCTGGGGATGAGCACGAGGATGGGATGAGGAAGCCCCCACTCACATGCTTGGCCTCGATGGTGGCCAGCTGGACTCGGCTCCGGCTCTCGTCCGTGTTTTCCTCTTGCTGGGTCTTCCGGCACTCGGCTAGCTCCCTGGGACAGAGCAGAGCAGGGGCATGGAGGGACACTGCCGCTCCCTTCCCTGCTGGCCTGGAGGGCAGAGGCACCTCACAGAGACCTGTGACAGCGTGGTGATACTCAAAAAGCCTTTACTGGTGCCCTGTGCCCTGTTACCTCTCCTTCTCCGCCATGATCAGCTTGGTCAGGTGGGAGTGCAGCTCGTTCTCCTGGTTGATCCGCTTCTCCTCGATGCTGTTCCAGCGTTTCTTCTTGGCGATGCGCAGGGCGCTGGGGATGTCGTCCCCGAAGTTCAGCCGCTGCTCCTTGGCCAGGTTGTAGGCTGGGGAGAGCAGGGCCACGTCAGAGCCAGCAGCGGGTCCCTGGCACCACCCTCGGCCCTTTCCCACAGGCGGAGGGGCCGCCGTGCCCGCTCACCTCTCTGCAGGTTGGCAATGGCCTCGTCGTAGTTCTCCATCTCCAGCTGGCACTGGCCCAGGAAGAAATGGGCCTTCACCGACTGCCCGTCCAGCTCCAGCGCCCGCTTGCAATCCGCCAGGGCCTTGTCGTGCTGCTGCATCTTCAGGTAGCACAGGGCCCGGTTGGTGTAGTACACGGCCACCAGGGGGTTCCGGTTCTGGGGGGACAGCCCCATGTCACGGGGGATGGCAGGGACAGCCCGGGCACTCGGTGACACTGTCACCCGGGCAGGGACAGCCGGCAGTGCCAGTGCGGGCGTGCAACCCATGGGGAGGTGCCTGGATGGATTGGGGACAGGCTGGGCCGGTCCCCATAGGGCAACCTGTGTCCCTGCCTCCAGAGGGGACAGTCCCCACCAGCTGGGGGGGCTGGAGCACCCCGGGAGGGGGCCCTACCCAGCACAGCCTGGGGATGGGGCAGGGTGGGGGCACCCTGGGGGGGAGTAGAGAGTCCAGCTCAGAGAGAGCGGAGGGACAGGCTGGGCTGGGAGGGTCCATGCCCAGGGAGGGGGCTAGGCCAGGCCTGGGGGGCATAGTCCAGGCCCAAGAGGGAGGATCCAGGCCCAGGAAGGAAGGTGGTCTAGGTCAGGAGGGGACAGTGTCCAGACTAAGGGGGTCCCATCCTAAAGGTATCCAGACCAGGCCCGGGAGAAAAACATTGTCCAGACTAAGGAGATTCCATCCCGGGGGTATCGAGGCCAGGGCTGGGGAGGTGTCCAGGCTGGGGGAAGCGGGGTCCCATCTCGGGGGTGTCCCATCCCCGAGGGTCCCGTCCCGGGCTCAGCCAGGCCAGGACCGAGAGGGTGCCCAGACCAAGGGAC